TAAATCAGAATCTGTGCATCTGTGATTCAGTATCCAGCACATTCAGGGTTTAATTAAAGAAATCCTATTTCTTTTCACTCCTGGTGGCTCTTTTTCATAGAGTTACTCCCAAAAATACAACAAGATTCATTCCTTCTGCATTTAAAGTCACATTTTTAATAATTTTTTTTAAAAAATTAGTCCCTAAATAATTCCTTCATTGAATTTATAGACTCCTATAGAAATTGAAAGCGAACAGTTTTCCTATGTGTGGTTTTATTCTGTTTGTTACAGTGAACAGAGCAATTCACTGGATTGGTCTGTGGAATGCAAAAGCTGGAAAATACCCAAAGGACAATATAAAATAGAAAAATTAATTTTAATTTTAGATGTTTTCACTCATTCCTTATACAGTGAGCAAATAATAAACAACAATCTAACAACATATTTTCATACTTCAGTCTCTCCTTAAAGAATTAAAAAATACTTCAGAAGAATACCAGAAGCATTCTCTATTTCCAAAATTAACTGTGAAAGGGAGATTGTCTGGGCATGTCTGAAAGCTATGCATAACCTTTGCGCTACAAATATCTCATTTCAAAAATGTCATATTATCCTTATTCAGTAGGGCTTCCATGAGGCTATTTTAAGCACTGGGCTTCTTGCTTTGAGATGAGACCTGGAGTTACTAGAGCTGCATCTCTTGTTTCCCTTAGTTTGTTCGAGCCCAATAGCTGCTTGGAAGAATTGCCCTGCTAAACATGGAGACTTCCTGCCCAAGCAGTGGGAACTCTGGAGAGGTCACTTTTGTCTGCAGGGATCCTTGTGTCTCCAGACTATCAGCTGTGGTAGCTTGGGTGGTTCTGATGCAAATAAGGAGGTGCTGGCACAGCATTCAGAGCTCCCACTGCTGGGACAGCTCCTGCGAGGACAGGACCGTGGAGGAGGTGCTGAGCATCATCCCCTGAGCACCTCCCAAGTGCTCAAACTCCTCACAGGCCTGGTGCTCTTGTGATTGTGTGTGTCTGCAATAGAAGCACTCATAAGAGCTTTGTGGTGAACTTTGCAACTGATGTTTGAGGAAAGTTGCACCTGGTGGGGAAAGAACCAATTCTCACTTTCATTTCTTCCATTTAGCTTTGGATCACGACTCTTGTGCTCTGATGTATACAAGTGGCAGAGTCTCAACACAAGTTACAGGCAACAGTTTCATCAAGGACGTAGTAATTCATGTTGAAAAGCACTTAATTACTCCATGTTTAGGGCAGACAACATGGCAATATGTGTATCACCAATATGCCAGCGTGGTTTGCTTTTCATAGAAGTTTATGTTCCCAGCGGGCACTGAATGTTTTTTCTGCCTGATAAATGTCAAGTACTTTAAGCAATCTTGCCTGTTTCTCTCTGGGGATTGCCAAATAATTTCCTTTCATTGGGTGTGGAATCTTGCCAGGGCTTCTGCATTCATGCACATCTATCCCTGCCAAATGTTGGTAACACAGGAACTGAACAAATACTCCCTGCTCCTTTCATTAGCCTTGCACAGGTCTGTTTAGCTGCAGGATTCCTGTTACTTTTCTCTGTTGTTCTGTGCTGGAGCAGTAGTTCATGATGCATAGTCCATTAACAGGTGTGCTGTAGAGTTCAGCCCTTGCCAGGGAGCTGTGTTTAAGAGTAGAAACCGTTGTTAAATAAATCTAACTGTCTTGCACCATAGCCTTCTTAAAAATAATTCAGTATGCCTCCTGAATGTTCTCCTGGAGCTGAGAGAGTTTCTAGTGGGTGTGAACAGTTCCTCTGTTCCTAGTAATGGTAAAAAGCTTTCTTTGTTATTAGCTCTATCCATTTACCTGTGTATTTTCTCTAGGGAGTCCTATAGCAGCCAATGTTCATGCTCTGTGTAGCATATAGGAGGTACTTTTTAAGGTTTGTAAAATATTTAAACAATTTAGTTCAGAATTTTAGTTGGAAAAGTCCAATTTGTCATGAAGGGAAAAAGATCTCAGTAGCACACCATCTCCTGGAAAGAGATGGCTTAGTAAAATAAACTACAGCAAAGGAAAAATGCTTTAAGTAGCAAATGGAAAGTAAATCACCTTGTCATGTTTTACCCTGTCTCATACAGAAAAACTGGGTCATTTGACCTTTTGGTTGATAATGTCATCAATATATTCTAGGCTAATGCTACATATCATGCAATGGCAGATGAGGCTCTGTGTGTCATTGTGGTACTTAATTTCAACCCATGCAAAAATACAAGACTAGATGGCAAAATGTCAGTCGTTTTTCCTTGACATTTCTCATTTCCTCATTTGTAATGTAATAACCTGTGAATGTTGGATATGGGAGCTCCAACACCCAAGGATGGGTTTAGACCATGTAGCAGAACCTCTTCAGTGGGATAAAAATTGTGAAAATGTAATGAGGGAAGAGGAAAATATGCTTTTTCTAGCAATTTAAAACCACAGTACTTTTGACCTCTTTTGGCTGGTTTTAGAAAAGAATTTCAGTTAACATTAGCCTTGAATGACCACAGCACAAGAGTAACTCAGCTTTTGATTATTTTGTCCATCATTAATATCCATCCTGATAAAGACATCAAAGCGTGGGGTTGTGGCTGTAAGACAGAGCACATTCTCAGCGTGACACCTGTGGCACAGAAGATGTAAAAGGCAGCACTGGGAACAGGGATCTGTGGAAGCAGAGGAGCAGGAAATGTTCCTTTCTCAGGTGTCCATTAGTGATGGCAGCGTGATGCACAGGGAACTGAAGACTGTGAGAAGCCTGTGTTTACAAAATACTGGATTTTCAGATGTAGCTGAAGTAGAGTTCAGGTCATGTACAACATGTTCACAAATGATCAGGCAGTTTGTGCCAGTTTCATTGACTGTCTCTTCATTTTAATGACAGCAATCTGAGTAAGATTGCTTTTGACAGGGTTGTAAATCAGATTAACAGAAGTTGGAGAGAGGACTGAGATCAAGTTTATGCTAGTAGAATATATGAAAACATAATATACAAATAAGACACTAAACAGAAATGAAATAGTGATTTAGCTGGAAGCAGGCAAGAAAAATCTGCTAGTATTGTGAAATACATCACAAGTAATATTTTCTGCAAAGCCCAAATGATTCTGGTAGCCTACATCTTATTCCCAAAAGTCTAGCCCAATACATTCAAGAAAATTAATTTGGGTTAATTAAAAAGACAAATTTAAAATGCATTAGGATATATCCACATAGTGAAAAACTATCAAGCTACCAAACACTCTTATCTGTGGTAGCTTTTGCATGTCCATAGCCTGCTGCAAAGTGGAACACATTAATTGGAACCATCATGAAAGTATAATATAATTTTTTGAGTATTTTTTTCCTTTTAATTCTTGCAGGATTTCTTTTGCTTTTTGCTTGTTGTACCTTAGTTATGTGTTAGCTAAAACAAATGCTACTTACAAAGAGTAGTCTCATTACTTTGTATATGTACACATGCACAGCTCCTTATTCCTGAACAAAACTTGTTTATCATCTGCCTTTACTGCTACACCTTGTGGGAATTGAGCAGAAGTTATTTAGCAGATCAAAGCACGAGTGTGAAAAAGTGATAACACTGTTTGGATCCTCCTCTGATAGTGACCAAACCACATTAGTAAGGTGCTTTAATGTAGATGTCTTCCAGCTCTGAGCCAGCATCCTCCCAGACTCAGAATGCTGTCTTTGAGCTGGCAGAGCACTATCTCACTGCTGGCTTTAGGAATATCTTTATGGCTCTTTCTAAAAGAGGGGTTTCAACTCCCCGAGTGCTGCCGCCTGGGTTAGCATCAGGCATTTGCTGGCTGTTTGCTGATGGGTCAGCAGAAGGTGTCTGGAAATTTCTCTGAGCATAGAGTTCAAACTGGCAGATATGCAGTAGTGAATTAAAAGGAGCAACAAAATTTGGAAAGGCAAGAAAGCCACTGTTCTAACCTGGCCGCTAGTTTAGTTCTGTGTGTTTGTTTGAACTGGGGGACTTACCAATGAGGTATCGATTACCTTCTAGAAATACAAGCTAGGTTTAGTATATGTGATAAATTTCGTTTCTGAACAGGTTTGTTGAGTCTTGCTTAGGATAAAAACTGACTTCACTTAAATATTTAATGAGGCATTTTATTAACCCTACCATTTAATGAGATGTTTTATTAGCTCTCCGTGCAAAGTGAACAAAATGCAATTTGCATGAGTTTCTTTATTGTTTAATTCATAAATGATAATTTCCAAGAAACCCTTGACCTCTCATTTCAAATGAATTAAATCACAATGTTTTGATTTATAATTTCAAAGACAAGGTTTCTATAAGTAACCGGTGTGGAAAGGATCACAATCTCTGAGATACTTTGTTGTTCCTTGACTTCACAGAAATCTCACTAAGAGATTCATGAGATTCTGACAATAGAATAGAGTCCAGATAAATCACTAGGATTATCTCAACAGCAGATTTTACAGTTTATGTATGAGTAGTTTCCTTCTCAGATAATGCTGAGACAATATCTGTGCTTTATGCAAGAAGTCACTATAAATAAAAAGGTCTTGATTCATCACTTTGTCACTGCAGTTACCTCACTGTCATTCCAGTATGACTGTCCAGGATCTTAACCGTTCTCTTGGAGCCAAAAGGAGTTAATTTTGATATTTAGTGTTATGTCATTGGCAACTCTGGGTCTTTAAAATCCCACAGTGATATTTGAAAAGCATATATTTAAAAATGGAAAGTCCCCTGTCCCAAAGAGTTTGGGAAAGAACAGATGTCTCGGAGGAAGTGCTCACTAGTTACTTAATCCTGGAGTGTCAGAGCATTCTGAGGGAAGTCTAGGAGTGTTTTGAATTGAGTGTTATTTTTATAGTGTTCTATTGATGAAAAAACAGAGAAAACCAGCAACAAGCTGGTCCCAGGAAATCCATTTCAGAATTATTACACTGTAACAGAGACCGTATGGTTGACAAAGTGTGTTACAGGCTTCTGACCAGTTTGTTCTGTTCTGTTGTCAGTGTCAGCCAAACCAAGACCTCACAGTGATGAGTACACAAAGAAGATTCCACCTCCTAAGCCAAAACGAAACCCGAACACTCAGCTAAGCACATCTTTTGATGAAACGTATATCAAAAAGCATGGCCCTATGAAGACAACCCTCACTAGGGATGCCTCGCTCTCGCAGGTCAGCAGTCCTGCTCCAGACACAGAGGAAGAAGAGCCTGTTTATATTGAAATGGTTGGGAATATTCTCAGAGACTTCAAAAAAGATGAGGATGACCAAAGCGAAGCAGTCTATGAGGAGATGAAATACCCTATATTTGATGACGTAGGCCAAGATTCAAAATGTCAATGTGAATATGACCATCACACTTGTTCTTCTCAGTGTGCTACTCCCACAGTGCCTGACCTAGATTTCACCAAGTCTTCAGTGCCATCTACTCCCAAGGGCTTGCTTTGTGACATACCCCCGCCATTTCCAAACCTGCTTTCTCACAGACCTCCACTGCTGGTGTTCCCACCAGCACCAGTGCAGTGTTCCCCAAATTCTGATGAGTCTCCTCTAACTCCACTGGAGGTCACAAAGCTTCCCGTCTTAGAAAATGTGTCTTACATCAAACAGCAAGCTGGAGCTTCTCCGTCTTCACTGCCACCTCACACACCAGGCCATCAAAAACTGGAGAAAGACCAGACAGTATCTCATGGAACTAGCACCCCTGGGCACACCTCCTCACCTCCTCATCCTTCTACTTTATACAGAACGCAGTCACCACACGGTTATCCTAAAAGTCACTCCGCCTCACCTTCTCCTGTCAGTATGGGTAGGTCTCTTACCCCCTTAAGCCTCAAAAGACCTCCACCTTATGACTCTGTACATTCAGGAAGTCTCTCAAGAAGCTCTCCATCAGTGCCTCATTCTACAGCCAGAAACACATTGCAAGAAGGAGGAAAGATGGTCAGTGTCTCAGTCAGCACCTACGGGTCATCATCTCAGAGCAGTTCTCGTTCTCGGACACCCACCAGTCCTCTGGAGGAGCTAACCAGCCTCTTCACCTCAGGACGAAGTCTCCTGAGGAAATCCTCCAGTGGCAGAAGATCTAAGGAACCTGCAGAAAGTAAGTCCTTGATATAATTTTTCCTCATCTTTGTATAATAATAACTGCTACTTTATAAAATAATTGCTACTTTACTAAATCAAATGCTTGCAAAATTTAAATAACTCAGAATTCTGAATTCCTTATAGAAATTTCTTGTAATGAAAAGAAAAATTATTATTGCTAAAAGTTATTTAGTCATGATATTGTTATACTTCTAAGGTTTTTAAGCATGCATACTGCACTTAAAAGTACAATTCATGGCTTGGTCTTGCAAAAAGAGTGAGTTTTCACTAATTTTTCCACAGCTGTAAAGGTTCCATGTCAGTTGGGATCTTCCCACCTTGTCACATCTTTCCTTTTGTGATGGATGCTAAGAAAGTAAACAGCTTGTAGCAAAATAACAAACAGTAACTGTTGAGAGTTGTTTGCAAAGATCCACCGATTTCCCTTAACTTGGCCAGAAATCCTGGAAAATATGGTGGCAACCAGAGGTACCAGTTTAACCCTGGTTAAACCTGGGGCAAAGGTTAAGGCTGATGATCTTGGAGGGCTTTTCCAGCCTACACAGTTCTGTGATTCTGTGTAAACCATTCCTCTCCTGCCATGCTGTGCCGTGGAATATCTTTCAGCTGGATGGCTGTGACTCTTTGGAAGCTTGTGCTGTGAATTGATCTGAAAACCAACATAACCTATAATGCACATAACCTATAAACCCACACAGGAAGAAATGCACAGAAGGAGGTTGTACAGGAAAAGCTTAAGCCAATATTGACTTATCATATGCTGTGTCATAAAATCAATGTTCCATATGCATTCAGGTTTACACTATGTACACCATGTACTTCTGAGCTAGTGGAATATGGAAACTCCTTTTGAAATTAAGAGGAGTCACATGTGTGAAAGCAGAACCTGGCACCAGTATTTCTGTTGCAAAAATGTTCCTGTTCAGTGGGTGTCCTGCAGTGGATGGTCGTTCTAACACCTCCTGTCTCAGTGCAAAGCAGACTTGGGATGCTTTCTCCTCCACTTCGGTAAAATCTGTTTATGACTTTGAATTGTTGACACCTGCCTAATGAAAAAGCTGTCTTTGGAGAGCAGCTGATCTCATGTTTGTGTAGGTACTATATTATGGCTATTGACAGCTCTAACGTATTCAATACGGTATGATAAACTGCATTGGTTTATACCTGACAAAAGAGTGTTCTGCTTTCCCAGCTACTTTATCACTATGGAAGGGAACTGAATTCCACACTGTGTTTCTGGTTGTGTTTGTGCCACTCTGTTATGTCACTCATCTCAGTGTGGTCACAGCACTTTGGGGCATGCTCAGGGTGCTCAGCAGGACACCCTCTCTGAGTTTCCATGGACAGAGTTTTCTGCCTCACACCTCTGCAGCTGAGCGAGGACATGCCTTTGTGTGAGAATGGAGAAGCTTGGTGGCAATGGGTTAGGCTGGCCTGCAACTCATCCTTCCTGACCCATTGGCTCCACTTCTCCAGCCTCAGTATTATTTATCTCTGTACACATCAGGGGTAATGACTCTGCAATCAGAAGGTGAAGGTGAGAAAAGAGTTAGCAAAATGCTGAGAATTCTAGTTGGTGCAGCAGTTTGCTAAATTTGCTGTTAGTATTTTCATGGCCTGTAGTCATTAACTCTGTTTCATGGAAATCTCAGCTCCATGATTCAGTAGGGTTTCATTAATTAACTACAGTAGTAAAGCAACAGTAACACCAGATTTGTGTGCTGGATGGAAGCAAGTTTGTATCTAAAAGGCAAGATGATTCTTATAATTGGGAACAATTATGAGGGATGTGATGTGACATTTATAAATAGTTTCAGTGAAGTGCTAGGGAGATTTTGGCAGGTAATACTGAACATTATTAAATATTCTTCATATTCATAAGTGAGCAGAAATCTCCTGTAAATCCCATGCTACACCAGTTCTACCCAGTGAGGTTTGTACGCTCACCAGTGTAAGCAAGTTTGGAACCTGGAGAAATTCCTGCCATGAATATTCCAAGTCCTGGGAAGTTTCAGCATGTCAGTGCTGCTGTTTCATACATGTTCTCCAGAACATGTTTGCTATATTATACTCGACTGAAATTGAATGCAAAACCTTCAAAGTACTTTTCACTGATAAATTTAAACTAAATCTTGTCCTGCAGACCTGTACCAAGAACAGCATTGTTGGCCTCTCAAGGAGCACTCTCTTTGCTCCTTAGGAAGTAGAAATGTGCTCCTTATTGGCCACAAATGGTAAGAACAAGAAAGATATGAAATTGAAATTGTGTTCATTTATTTAAGAAAAAAATATTCATGTTATAGACACCAGTGGTGAAAAGACTCTGGAGTGCAGCTGTGTTGAGTAAATGAACAGACTACACATCTAATCCGATTGTAATTTGTCTGGTATTTACAGTATGACTTAATCCTGTGGGATTACTGCCCTGAGCAAGAATCAGGTTTGTGCTCAGATATTGCAGAGGTAGAAGACACTCCAAGATTTATAGAAAGCACATACAGGTCTGACATTTTATGTCTTTCAATTCTACATTGAAATGATCCACCATAAAGAATCTCAATTGGGAGATTTGAACATGGCATTTGACCAGACTGCTGCATTTACATGTCATGATTTACATGGTGTTAGACAGGGGAGGCTGGGCTACTCATCTGATATGTTAAAGAAACCTTGATCTTACAAATCACTCTGGAAGCCTTAAGGCACCCACACCGTTCTGGTGTGGTTCCGTGTGTTTGAAGCAGTGGGAGAGCAAATGCAGGGTGGGACTAAATGGGACTGCCCTGTCAAGGTAATTTGTTCTCAGCATACAGAAAGATTTCCATAATCTAGAGGATAATAAACATACAAAAAAGAAGATATATGACTCTTAAAAAGTCATGCTAGGAAATTAAGAATATTTGCTTCTAAAATATTAAATTATTCTGACCACATCTCAAGCAACTTTCTCATTGAACTCTCCAAGACTCTGCCTCCTGTGACTTGTCTGAAGTTCTCACTACCATATGCTAGTCTCAAAAAAAGCACAATACTAAATTTTATGTTCAGCTGAGTCTATTTGGAAAATACTTCAGCAATTACAGAGATAATTGTCTCACTTTTATGGTTAGAACAAACTGACTGTGGAAATTCAGCATCCAAGTGCAAACTCCAAATGTATTTGCTGGCTTTTAATTTGTGTCATTTTTGAGTGGGTATTTTTTTGTTTTGTTTGGTTGGGTTTTTTTCTTGAGGAGGTGGGACTACACAAAAATTATTTCCAGTCAAAAGCTTTAGTATACAAGTAAGGTTGCCCTTTTAGCCTTTCTTTATTATTTTCTTCACTTTTCTGTTTTTTTTTTCATTTGTATTCTTCTCCATTTAATTTCTTTAGGGTTCATTTGTGTTATTGAGAAATTGGGGTAAATCAGTGGTGGTGAGGAGTCTTTCACCTCAGGGCCACATTTTCTGAGGATATGTGCATCCATTGAAGCTCCAAACATTGATGAACACAGTCAGCATCCACTGGCTGCAGCTGTAATGTGCCAATCTGGATTTTATAAGCAGTTCACTTATTGTTCTGTTTTTTAAAAACCCTTTTGTATGCTTTTAACATCTTAAATATGTTATACAGATAATTATGAAAGTGGGGAGAAAATAACAGACAAATTGTAATGCCAAATCAGAAATTAAAAAAAAAAATTGGTAGAACATTATGAAAAAAAAAAAAAAAGAAAGATGGAGACAACCCTACAGAAAACTGAAGAAAGGTGTAGAACATGAAGAATGTGAAAGAGTGGAAAAGACAAGTATTGTCACTGACTGTTCCTTAATCCTTTCTGCATTTTTGTGGGATAACATGGCAGTGTGCCTTAACAATTGGCAGACCCCTGTGAAATAAAATGTCAGTTCTCAGAGATTAAAGGGAAACTATTTAAAGGATACCAACACTGCCAGGTGTCCTTGGGCTGCTGCACTGTGCCTTTTTGTGAAGCAGCTGGAATTTGTTGAAGTATGGCCACTCGATCCAGCTGTGTGGAACCGCACAGTCCTATTGTCATCACTGTGCGCGCTGTCTGTGTTAGCCATGTCCTTCAGTAAAGAGGATTTATGGAGGGAGAGGAAGGGAATGGTCTGAAGCTTTTCTGGAGCTTCTGTCACTTCTGCACCATAGAAACACTCTGTACTCCATGAGGAACTAGCACTGGAGTCATATGCCTGAAGGCATCCCCACATCCTACAGAACAGAACAGAGGCTGCTGTGCATCTGCACCGCGCTGGCTTTCAGGCTGTGCATGGCTCCAAAGCTTTCTTTGTGAGATGGTCCTGTAAATCCTTGTCAGGGTCAACCTTTCTTTCTGTATATTGATTGTTTCCATTCGTTAAGCCTTCTGTTTCCTCACATTTTCCTGGGAGCTTCATGCCAGTTTGGAGCAATTATTGCAAACATTCACCCTAATGAACTGCACAAGAGAGCAGTGACCTCAGCTGTGTGCTCTGACTCTGGATGAGCACAAGGTGTGAGATCAGAACAAGTGATGCACAACAGCTCAGGTTTTTGTTTTCCTGAGGTGCTCTGCAGGGCTTCAGAGCTGCTTTGGTGTTTGCCTACACGGAGTTTCACTCTTCAGCTTCTAGTCACATAAAGGGAGGAAATTTGTGAACGTGCTTTGAAAAATCAGTTATAGTGATTGAAAATTGAGATAATTACTAACATTTCCTCTTCCTGGCTGCTACTGAATTAAGAATCTAAACATATCAAATAGGGAGAGGAGAGGAGAGGAGAGGAGAGGAGAGGAGAGAGGCTGAACTGAAGTAGATCAGTTGTTATAAAGGAGTTTAGGCTGATTTCAGGCAGCTGAGACTTAGAGTAGAATTTTTTTTATTTTTTTTTTAATGCTGCTGCTTTCCAGGAAGCTAGAAATCCCACAGAAGTATTGGTTGTCTCATCCCTGGCAGTGTCCAAAGACAGATTGGATGGGGCCCTGAGCAGCCTGATCTAGTGAATGTCATCCC